TCAAAACTGCACTTATACAAATGACATTTACTGCTGATAGCAGTTTACTGGAATTTTTAATTTCTCCTTTCTTTTGTCACAGAAAAAAGGTTATTTCAGTATTTTGTCGTCAATGATAAATATTCTGTTAATTTACCATTCAGTTGATATCGTCGATAAACAGACAAGTCTAAATCGGCAACCTCAGCTAATATCGTTTAAAACTGTTTCAGCCAACCATAGCCAAAATTATGCAAGTTTCTTTTGTTATCAACAAAATCAAACATTATTTTCTTTACCACAAAACAAAATCATTTCTTTTGGCCATCGATGACAACAAAAATGAAAAAATTGTTTTTCCCATTTTTTGATTTCGTATTTTCAAAAACGATACATAATTCAGTAAATGTTTCAGAAGTGCGTTACTTAAGTAAATAATATTTTAAATAATTGTACCAGACAAGTAATTATTCTTCTTTTCTGAATAAAAAATGCACAGCAAAAGTTAGTGCTGCTGTTGCAAAAAAAAAAAAAAAAAACCGACCACAAAAGTAATTTGACGAATGACAGAAGAAGAAAAAACAATAAACGAATTTAAAAAAAAAAGGAAGAGGAAAACATGTTAAAATTTTAAAAAAAATTAAAATTGAAAATAGTTAATTCTGTTTAAACAACTGAAAACCTTTCACTGTCAAAACTCAGCGATATTGTGCTTTTAAAATTGACGTCACTACTAAAGCAGATGTCATTAGTCGCCAAAACACTGTTGTGTTGTCAGCGGTAAAACAGATCGTTGAAGCCAAAATAGTTGATCAATGATTCTACCCACATCTGTTGTTGGGGAACTTACCGTCGATCACTTTTGCTCATTAGACTCTTCTTAGAGGCAAGTAAATGGATGCAAGTGAAAAAAAAAAAGAAAGACTGTCCAACTAATAAAAAACAGAATTTGACAACTGTTGATGCTGTCCCAAATTATTTTAGCTCTAATTTAGCAAAATGACATACCTCAATAGCGTGATAGAATACAAGACTTCCAATTAAGATCACTGTACTTAGTGCGCATAACGATCGAAGCATCAACGATACGAAATGATCCTTAAAAATTATTTCTCTAATCCATCGTTCAGTTTTTTTTTATTTTTTTCTACAGGCAGACTAATTAACAGATTAATGACAGCTAATGGCCAGACGTAATGCTGATAAGGCTAATTTAACCTGCAATTCTAAATAACTAAAGCAACATATAACTAACAGTTAATAAAAAATTTTCCTTTTGGCTCTTAAAATAGTAAAAAAACATGATGATTCTTTGGTCATATAAATATAAGTGTAAATGTATATATATATATATATATTTATATACGAAAAAAAAATATACATATATATATATATATATATATATATATAT